TGCCTGCGTGGTTACCTGGCAGGAGCTTTTCTTAACGCGGAGTTGCGTGGACTCGTCTTTTAAAATGTACATTTGAGGCAGTTTTTAATGTGACTTTCTGTCTTGGGGTAGCCTTCACCCTTTTTGTAAATCCCTGCCTGTCCCATCGTTTCCGTGTGTATAAAGCAGCGGTCACGTGGGAAACGGATTTTACAAGTGGAAACAATAAATGCGTGAAGATAAACAGGAAAGCTTCTATGGCCATCTTACTTACACCTGTTTATTTTTTTTTTTAATAGAGCTGTGAAACTGGCAATGTCCGCTCCACTTGAAAGCAACTTTAAATCAATTTTTTTGGCACATAACTTGTAACGATTGTAAGAGTTTATATGTAATGGTATATATTCTATCCTAACATAGTAGCGAGTGTGGATTTTTTTATTTGTATTTAAAATACCTCAGAAGTCTTCTGCCCATTCCCCCCTTGATTCTTCTGTATTTGCTGAGTATTTTTATTATCTCTGGTATAATTCCCTGTGCTCCTCTTGTCCGTTGTTTTCATACCGTGTTCATCATCGTGTTTGAACACGCACATCACGGTCCTAAAGAGAAACGGGTTGTGTTAGGACACGCTTATGAAGAAATGCAGGAAAGCAGGGTTAAAACTTGCAGCCCCACCACATTAGAACAGCACTGTATGAAAGTGTTTTCTTATTTCTTCTCAGGTTTTTCAGCAACTCCTCCAGTAATGCTATGGATCAGGAAATGGCTTACAAACTTGTGGAAAGACCAACTTTCTTTGAAATATTTAAGGCACATTGTAATGAATCAGGTACAGCTTGTCTACAGTAAATAACTTTATTAGGGTTGCTTTCTGGACATTGCTATTTTATACATGCGTGCTGTAGGCTGTAGATTCCATATAAAAGTGTTATGCAACTTCTTAGCTCTACTTACCCCAAATCTCCATTAGCTAATATCTACCTTTTTTTAAATATCTGTTCAAATTTTATTTATACCTTTTTTTCATCATGTGTGCTCAGTTATTTTTTGTACTTGTTTTTTAGCTGTGGCTTCCTTATGTACTCACGTGCAGGCCAGGTTTAGTCTTTTGCCAAATGCACCTGTAGTCATATGATTTATTAATGTTAAAAAGAACCTGTTTAACTTGCCAGTCTGAATAAAACAAGAGGTAAACTAAAAACCAGATGTATACTTTTAATTTTAAACAAACTGGATAATTATCTGTTCTTTGATTAGCTTTGTTAGTGGTCTGAGAATTTGGGCAGGCATTCTTGTATACTTTGTGGGTATTGGAGTTCAAAGCTATCTAGAAACAAAATAAACAGAAGTATGACAATGGAAGGAGCAATGCAGTTTCCTGCTAGTATTTAAATGCCTAATGTGTTTTCACATCCTGCATGGAGCATTAATTTTGTATTAATTTACAATTAATTACAGTCTTCTCTTATATGTATCATATGCAGAATGAAGATTTTA